GGGGAGGCTTTCTTTTTTTGGGGTGGCAGGACTCTAAGCCTTACACCTCTTCCCCCCCCCCGTGCTAATAGACCCCCCCCATGCGTGCAGATAGGCCAAAGTCCCCGTCGGTTTCCAGAACCAAAGTCAGTTGGGAGAAGTACAAAGTGTCCCCCACAAACAGTGGGAAGAGGAGTCTCCGGTCTTTCTCTCCCCTGCCCCCCAGATTTCTGGGAGGGCCACTTGCGTTTACCCTTTCCTTGCGTGGCGTGGAGAAGCGGCCGCCACAGAGTGTGGCTGGTCGCGCGCCGGTGGTGGAGCTTTGGGTGGGCATCCTCTTCTGGGGTCAGGTTGGCGACGGGCGAGTGGCGGAGCACCTCGATCGCCCGCCGGGGGGTGAGGAAGTTCGAGTGCAGTTTAGTTGCGGGGTGCCTCTCGCTGCTTCCCCTTTGGGGTGCTGCCCGGTTCACGCTGTTTCTTTTCTCTTCCTCCGGTTTATTTTTAGCTTCTGTCTCCCTTGCTGTTGCCTGTTGCTTGGAGACTGGTACATGGGGGGGGGCAGGGCGGTTTCTGTTTGCGAAAGGCCCTGTAGTGCCAAGGAGCAAGGCGGTGGGTGCGAAGGATGTTCAGCTGTTCTCGTGTTTGGGGGTGCGCGGCTCTGTGCCGGCTGCCGGGGTAGACTTTGGCCCTTCCTTTATCTTGGGAGCCGGTGGACGGGCGAAAGGGAGTGAGGGTGCACATGGTGTAAGACTGCAGGCATTCTCTCCCCCCCCCCACCCACAAAGGTAGTGTGTGTACATGTGCGGGACCACATCTCCAGCACTCCCACCCCCCCTCGAGATGACATCACCACCCTAATGGCTCCGTCTCCACCGGTGCCCTTGAGCCGGCGCCCGCGTCCCCGGCCTCCATTACAGGGCCCTGAATTATTGATAGGCTCAGAGCGCCTGGGGTTTGGGAAATGGGAAACCACAGCCCCCCCTTCCCCCCCCGGCAAAGCTCACAGACACCCCCTCCCCCTCAGGCGTTGGGCATAAGCTCAGCAGTTTCAGCCAAGGAGACGGATATAAGAGAAGGGTATGTGTGGGATGGAGCCGGCAAGGAGGAAAGTGAGGGGGTCTCTGCAACGCCCTGCAGTGAACTCCTCGGTGTGTGGGCAGGAGCGGTTCTTCAGAGGGGGGTGGTTGGCATCTTCCCCCCTCTGAAGGATGGGGTGTCGCCGTGGCCCCATGAAACCCTGGGGAAAGAGGAGTCTCTTCCCTTTCCCCTGAAATTTCCGGGAGAGCCTGTTTACCATGCACTAGGAGAGGCCCCATCCCTCCTAGGCATGTGCACGGGTGGGATGGCCCATTGTCTTCACTGCGGACTTCCTGTTTATGAGGGGTGGGCGGCCAAAAACTGTTGTCTCCCGAAGGAGAGGCAGGGGGAGCGAATCAGTCCCGGAGGCATCAACTGGAGAGTGCGGGAAGCTATGGTCTCCAGCGTCTAGGTGGGGCCCGGAGATCTGGAGTTACAACTGGTCTCCAGGCGACAGAGACCAGTTGCCCTGGAGGAAATGGCTGCTTCGCAGGGTGGACTCTGTGGCATTAGTCTCTGCTTGAAGTCGCTCGCCAGGTTCTGCCCCCCAGAATCTCCAGGAATTTCCCAAACAAGAGCCAGCAACCCAAATAGGGAAGGCCTCAGAGATTGGTACTCTCCAGAGACAGAGTTTGGTACTCTCAAGAGACAGCGAGATTTATCCTGATTCTCGCAGTGTTGGGGTGGCGGGGAGAAAGTATAGCTTACTAGGCGGCTCGGCCTTCTGTGTGTGCGAACATGTGTTCCTGCAGGCCCCAGCGCTTCGGAGTGCCTGTGCTGCTCTTTCTCTTTCCCCCCGCCCCCCAAAGGAATGCTCTGGAGTTGGGCTTGGCGGTTGCCTCGTGGCTGCGACAAAAAAAGGGCCCCTTGTCTGAGAGCCGCTGACCTCAGCCCCTAACCATCCCCCCCCCAGCCTGCCCAGTAAGAACATGGTACAAAGAATCCCCCCCACCCTTTCTCTCCAAACATGTTGATGCTTCCCTCTTGGCCATAATGGAGCCGATTCTTCCCCGAATTTTCAAGCCGAAACTTTTTCCTTCTTCTTCTGTTCCTTCTGTTCCTTCTCTTTCCCCGCCCCCCTCCTTCCACCTTTCCCTTCTTCCTCGGGTGTTTTGGGTCCCCCTCCAACATACTTAGATGGGGGGGTTGTGTCGGGGGGGGGGAGCCGGGGCAAGACCCCCCGAGCAAGTTTTGAGAGTAAAGAAGGGCTCTTCGCCTTCAGGTAGGGGAGGCAAGCCCTGGCTCTCTCTCCCTCCCCGCCCACGCTTGGGGGAAAAAAAGAGGAGGATCTGGTTGGGACCCAGCCTGGAAGTCGCAAGGCACTTGGCCAGCCTCCCAGCCGCCGGGCTGCATAAGGCGGTGGCAGCAGCCGGTTTCCTGTTTTCCCTCCCCATATGTGCTGGTCGGCGGCAGTGGTGATGGTGGGGGGGAGAGATCTCTGCACCTTGTAGCCGAGCCGGGGGATGCACAGCGCCTACTCTTACCCCGAGTCCCAACCCTGCTCCGTTTCCAAGCCCGGCTGCCAGTATGTGCTGACGGGATGCGGGAAACAGATCAGGGTATGGGAAACGCCTGAAGCTTGGTTCCAAGCTTTTACAAAGTGGTTTCTTTTCTCTCATCATCCGCCCCCCCGCCTCGTTGGCTTCTCTTCCCGTCCTCCTCCCGGGCCCTCGTTCCGAGCTGGCTAACCCTCTGCTTTCCTTTGCCAGGTTTCGCCTTCCCCGACTGGGCCTACAAGCCCGAGTCGAGTCCCGGCTCGCGGCAAATCCAGCTGTGGCATTTTATCCTGGAGCTCTTGCGCAAGGAGGAGTACCATGACGTCATCGCCTGGCAGGGGGACTACGGGGAGTTTGTCATCAAGGATCCGGACGAGGTGGCCCGGCTCTGGGGGGTGAGGAAGTGCAAGCCCCAAATGAACTACGACAAGCTAAGCAGAGCTCTGAGGTGAGGCAGGCGAAGATTCGGCCACGGAAAGGCTGGAGTGGCTATTCGCGGCTGGAGAGGGAACGAAACTTGGAATCTACTTTTTCTCCAGAGCTGTATTGTGGAACTTGCAAGGGTTGCATTGTAATGTACAGAAGCTAGTACTTGGGATGGGATTCGGCATCCGGGCATTTCCCTTTTTTATTTTTAGATAGAGCATCTTCCTAGCATTTAAACCCTTCTGTCTTTGGAACGATGAAAGATGAACCAAGAGGTTCCCCCCCCCCCAACGAAATTGCGTCACTGTTCTGTTTTTAGTCTCGGTGAATAACTCGTAGCCCTTACTGGTTCGTTCCATCTTTCCTCCAAGGAGCAAGGAATGTGTGGTTCCAGATTGAGAACGATGTCTGACTGTGGTTAAGGTTGGATGCTAGCAGCCATCAGGGCTTGGTCCTCTCCTTCTGCACACCTCTTGAGTATTCTGTTTTAGTATTTGGCCTCACAACAGCCCTGTGAAGTAGATCCCCTATTACTACTTTGTTAGTGGTGGGGGACTGAGATAGAGGGAATGGTTTGCTTGAGGGTACAGTCCTGCACCCTTAGTTGGAGTGCCAGTTTTACTACGTCCAGCATTTTCTGTCTGGTGGATGACGCTGGCCAGTTTGGTGTAGTGGTTAGGAGCACGGACTCTGATCTAGGAGATTTGATTTCCCACTCCTCCACATGCAGCTGCTGGTGTGACCTTGGGTCAGTCACAAGTTCTTTCCGGGCTGTTTTGTCAAGGGCAGTTCTCTTAGAGCTCTCTCTGCCCCACCGACCTCACAGGGTGTCTGTTGTGGGGAGGGAAAGGGGATTATAAACCGCTCTGAGACTCCTTTGGGTAGTGAAGGGCGGGGGATAAATCCCATCTCCTCCTTGAGAAGAAGAGAAGAAGAGATTGGGTTTATACCTCACTCTTCACTACCCAAAGGTGTCTTAGAGCGGCTTACAAACTCCTTTCCCCTCCCCTCCCCACAACAGACACCCTGTGAGGTAGGTGGGGCTGAGAGAGCTATTGGCAGAAGAACAAGAACAGCTCTTATCAGAACTACGGCTTGCCCAAGGTCATCCAGCCAGGTGCAAGTGCATTTTGTTGTCATTGAGAACGGTGGTGGTAGAAAATGCCATCAAGTCGCAGGGCCAACCTCTCATGGGGTTTTCGAGGCAAGAGGTGTTTGGAGGTGGCTAGCCATTGCTTGCCTCTGCATAGCAACCCTGGGCTTCCTTTGTCGGTCTCCTATCCAAGTGCCAACGAGGGCCAGCCTCGCTTAGCGTCCGAGACCTGATGCGATCAAGCTAGCCTTGGCCACCGAGGTCAGGGCTTGCCGAGATGAACAAAAGCCCAGTTCCCCACCCCGTGAGCGCTCCCTTCCTCTCCCTTGACAACCCAAAATGGCAGCCAAGATCTCACAAAAGTAGTCGCGCAATGGTTGGTACTCGTTCATTGTCCGGGCAACCCAAAACGACAGCACAGATCTGTGTTCGGACACCTTTGATTTTACTTAAGCTCACTTCTTCAGATGCTGGTTTTCCTATTTCTCTGTCAAGAGGGATTTCCTGTACCTGAGCCTCTCCTCCTTGTGGATTTATTGAGCCACGCTGGGGGAAGGAGGAGGAGCTATAACTATCGGATTCTATGATAAAAATCAAGGAAAGACCAAGTTTGACGCTTCCACTTGTGGGTTGCGTATTCCTAATGGAACATACTTAGGAGGTGGGTTCTCAGGTCCTGTGGGTTCTAAAGGGAAGAGGAGATGCCGAGTTCTTGAGATCTTTGTGTTTGCTTGAGGGGAAGCAGAAGGAGGACAAACTTCTGACCCTGGTTTAGAGAAGACAGCTGAAAATACAGAAGGGGGGGGTTTTCCAGTGATTGGGGGGGTCATTGGGGCTGAAAAGGGGTTGTGGTGTCTCAGCCCCTGTGCAATGAAGAAACAGTATCATGGTTTCATTGAGAGGATGCGGAATGTCTACAGGCCTTGACACAACAGCTCAAAGATGGAGCAATGTCTACGAAATCTAGCCAGCCATTTCGTTCAGTCTCACCCAGTTGACTGGCATTACTACAGTCCCCAGTCCATAATCCATGTGGATTCTGTGCAGTTCGCAGCATAGCATTTTTGGGTGATCCGAGGGGGTTCCTTCCCTCCTTTTCGTTCACCAGTGGAAAATTCGACTGGAGCGAACCCATCGAATTTCCTGCCCCTTCCCTGAATGACTAGCCTGCTAATCAGAGTGCACTTTAAAGTGTCAACTTGGGAACCTTCTGTCAAAGTCCTCTGCTCAGTTGCCTAGAGGTACTTATCTGTCATAGTTACAGGTGGGTCGCCATTGTTGGCCTGCAACGATGAAGAAGAAGAGATTGGATTTATACCCTAACCCTTCACTACCCAAAGGAGTCTCAGAGCGGCTCACAATCTCCTTTCCCTTCCCTTCCCCTCCCCACAACAGACACCCAGTGAGGTAGGCGGGGCTGAGATAGCCCTTGAGAGAACAGCTCTGAGAGAACTTGTGACTGACCCAAGGTCACACCAGCAGCTGCATGTGGAGGAGTGGGGAATCAAACCCGGTTCTCCCAGATCACACCAAACTGGCTCCAGTAGCACCTTAAAGGCCAACGGGATTTCCAGGGTCAAATCTCCCTCTTCTGCAGAACTCAGAGTCCTCGGGTTGGAAAGGACCGTGGCCTTCTGGAGCGGTCCCAAAGGTTCAGGCCACCCTTACATATTTGTAGAGCTTTTTGCGGCAGGCGTTCTTGAATGGAATTAGTAAATCGCTGACCTTGGATTTCCTGTCACCCCTTCCCCCAGGTACTACTACAACAAGCGGATCCTGCACAAGACCAAGGGCAAGCGCTTCACCTACAAGTTCAACTTCAATAAGCTGGTGCTGGTCAACTATCCCTTCATTGACATGGGCATGGGAGGTGAGTGGGGGACAAGCTGCCTTGAAGAGGGGTGTATATGTCTGCAATCGAAGGTTTCCCTTGCTCGAAAGCCAGTCGAATCTGACTCTAGGGGGTGGTGCTCATCTCCGTTTCGAAGCCGAAGAGCCGGCGCTGTCCGAAGACATTTCCGTGGTCATGTGACCGGCATGACTAAATGCAGAAGCGCATGGAACGCGGTTACCTTCCCACCGAAGCGGTACCTATTTATCTGCTTGCAGTTTCTTGCTTTCAAACTTCGAGGTTGGCAGGAGCTGGGGCCAGAGACGGGAGCTCACTCCGTCACGCGGCACTGGGGTCTCGAACCGCCGAACTACCAACCTTCCGGTCTGCAGCTCAGCATCTTAACCTCTGAGCCACCGTTGTAATCTGCATGACCCTAAAACGAGAAAGGCAGTCTGCCTGGGAGGTTATCAGGGATAGGCCAAGAACAGAGGACTTTATTGTCTTGGTCACTTTGCGGGCCAAGAGGTTTTGACTTCAGTGTAGCGCGCAGCTCACCAAGGAACACGTAGGGAAGCAGCCATGTTACAAAATACAGCAGGGACCATAGCAGCACTTGGTGGGGTGGGCCGGGGCCCAGAATTGGAGTGTTTTATTACCATGTGTTTTGCTGACTACACAAATGATTGATTGACGGTCCCAGTTTGGAGCCCCAGATTTAGTCATTGCCCAGGTCAATAGGAAAGGGTACTTGTCAGAAGAAGTACGAGGGGGAGTCGGTGGGGAGGAACCGGTGAAAGGTCATAATTCTGTTGTGGAGTACATATATTGTTTGACCGTGAAATTCAGTCCCTTGTGTTTCTAGTTAGGAAGATCTCAACCAACAGGAAGGACTTCTGCCTAAGAGGGTTGCAGCCAGCCAAAACAGACAGTACCTGGTCCATCGTGGCCTTATATGGGATTTGGCAACTTCGTGTTTATGTTAGAATTTGGAAAAGGACACAGTAAGAGGAGGAGGAGTAGTGTTAGGCCAGCTTGTGCCTTTCCCCCACTACAGAACAGTGGACCTTCCTAACTGCCTCTTCCTTGAACTCGCAGGTGGGGCGGTGCCCCAGAGTGCCCCGCCAGTGCCCTCGGGGGGCTCCCACTTCCGTTTCCCACCCTCCACGCCGTCCGATGTGCTGTCCCCCGCTGAGGATCTGCGCTCGCCTGGCGTCTTCTCGGCTGTGGCTCGCCGCTTGGCCCGGGGCTCGGTCAGCGACTGCAGTGACGGCACGTCAGCGAACTCTGAAGTGGAGGAGTCCTTGGCTGAGGAGCAGAGGCGTGGGGAGGCAGGTGGTTTCCGTGGCCCCCCAGTGCCTGGCCACCCTCGCTTGACCCATGACAGCCTCTTCAGGGTTTATCCCCGCCCTCGGGTTCCTGAGCCCCTCAGTCCTTTCCCAGTGTCCCCCATGGCTGGACCCGCAGCCCTTCTGCCCCCTCAGTTGTCCCCGGCCCTCCCCCTCACCCCCACACACATGAACTACACTCCCTCACCCACTCTCAGCCCCATGTACCCGGGAGGCTCCCATTTCTCCTTCAACCCCGAGGACATGAAGCGCTATCTTCAGGCCCACACCCAGAGCGTCTACAACTACCACCTGAGTCCCAGAGCTTTCTTACACTACCCCAACATTGTCATCCCACAACCCCAACGCCTCGACAAGCCCCCTCTCCCACCACCGCCCCCCCAGGCGGAGGAGCCGCCGACCTCTTTCAAATTCAAGCTGCAACCGCCGCCGCTGGGGCGCCGCAACCGGGAAAAGCAGCAGCCCCCGAGCGCACCCCCCGGAGAATCCAGCAGTGGCCTCCCCTCTTCCTCCTCCTCTGCCTCGGTGGCCGAGCCACCCCCGCTCCCTCAGATCAAGGTGGAACCCATCTCGGAGGGCGAGTCGGAAGAGGACCTCACCGTGGAGGTCACCGACATCAGTGAGGAAGAAGAGGACGATGAGGAGGTCTTCAAGGCCCCCGCCGCACCCCCCGAGAAGATTGGGGGAGAAGAGGAGATTCAGCCAGTGGTTCCCCCTCTCGCCCGGGCCGGGGAAAGCGGGAAGTGTATCCCCCTTAAACTACGATTCAAGCGCCGTTGGAGCGAGGATCAGCGGCTGGAAGCTGGCGCGGGGGCTGAGGAGACGGACGACAAGAAGGTGAAGGGGGAAGATGACGCCAGTGGTCACGGAGACGGAGTGGGCGGCCGGCGGATCAGCACGGAGCTCCAGCGGGCCACTGCTGAACTTACCCTTGAGAACCGGGACTCCTAGAGCTGGGATGCACGCCCCCGCCCCCTTCCCAGGACAGATGGACTTACAGGCGGGGTGGGGGGGTGGGGCTGGTTTTGCTGCTTTGACTCAAAGATTATCTTTTTACTGTCGTCGATTTCCCTTTTTTTCCCCCCTTGAAACTCTGTACATTTAATTTTATTTTGCCTGAAAAATTCAGGGGCGTGGGGGTAATATTGAACAGTTTTTACTTTTGTCTATATACATATAAATATATATAAATATAAAGAAACCTCTTTGCGGGGATGGGGGGATTTCTAAGATATTAATATGCTGGGGCAACTTTACTTTTAGCGTTTCTTTCCTGTTGAGCCCCCCTCCTCCCTCATCCTTTAAGGTATAGAGCCCCAGGGCATTCTTTTTTTTTTAAAGGAAATACAAAAACAAATAAGGAGTATTTTAAATAAATATATATATATATTGCTTTTTTTTTTTTGCCTTCATAGGGCTTTGTGCGGGTTGTCCTATTTCGGGGGGGGGAGCTTCGTATGAAAGCCACCACCTTCCGAATAATTTCCTTTCTTCTTCTTCCCCACCCCCACTATTGGTATACTAAGCACAATACGCTTTTTATTCCCCAATGGGTTGAAAAGAGATTTTAGCCATATATAATCTCATTTGCATCTCACCCACCTGTCTAAATAGCTCCTATCGAAAGGGCACGGCGGGAACTATTGCCCCCCCCTTCTGCTAACTGTAGGAGCGGCTTCTTAGCTTTTAAAAGCAGAGTCACCTTACCGCGTCTTCCCCACCCCAAAAAAAATAATGTCGGGAGGAGGACGTTACTACCTGTAGGCAGTTTGTCCCACTGAATGGACAGTAACTTGGCATGTTTGTAGAACTCTGTAATCGAGAGCTGCGGCAGAGGAAAAAGGGACCCCCATACACTCCCCCGAAGAGACCCCCTTCATTATTCATTACTTTATGTAACCAAAAAAAAAGTGGGTTTGGGCATGGTGTGGCCCCCCTCTGGCCTGTCCCACTGTCGGGTTGGGGAGGGAGGCGGGTGGGAGTGTTGGGATTTAAAAGGGGGGGTTTAAGTGCCTGTTTGAAGTACTGTTTCCGAGCGAACATGACCAGGGAGTTGGGCACTCCTGTTTCTTAATCGCCTAGCCTTTCACTCAGTTGCGCCCCACAAGAACCCCTTCCCACCCCCAAAGAAATCAAGGCACCGGTTCACTTCCTCATTTAACCCCAGTTTTCCCTTCTGTTGGAAGAGAGGAAAGTGGTTGGCGGTTCTATGGGGGTGACGGTGCCTTGGAAGAAACAAAACTGATTCCCCCCCCCCCCCCCCCCCCCCATACACCCTTTGTACTTCCTTCGTGGTGCCCTAGCCCTGGCCAGGCACATATGCCTTTGTTTTCAACCACCCCTGTTTGAGCGAGAAAAAAGATTATCCAGATTTCCCGGCCTTTTTTTCCTTTTTCTTTTCACTCCGGCCAAAACCCCACAAGTGGGTTTTGGAAGGACGTTAAAACATGGTGGGCTGGACCCAGATTGGAACCTGCTCTTTGTGGGGTGAACGATATTATGCTTGAGGGGCTTTTTTTTTTATACAGCCTTATTCAGATTCTTGTACATATCAAGGAAATGGGGGTGTCTTCATTTTAAGAATGTAAAACAAGCAAAAAAAAAATAACGAATAAAGGGTTTTGAAATTTCATAGCCTCATGTTTTCCCCCCTTTTTTTGAAAAAAGAAAGCTTTGACGTTCCAAGGTTGACATTCTACTTATTTATATATTGTCTGTTCATTTTTGCCCCACAAAAAGTTCTCCAAGGAACTCAGGTCAGCGTCTGAGGTAAATTAGGCCGACAGAGTATAACTCGCCCCGGGTCAGCTATTGAACTTCATCGATGTTGAACTGGGTCTTCCAAAACCCAATCTAATATTTTTATGATTCCCTCTCTGTGAGGTAAACTAGGCCGACAGAGCGTAACTCACCCAGGGTCAGCCATTAAACCTCATGGATTTTGAACTAGGCCTCCCAAAGCGGCCCAATTTAATATTTTAACCATGATATTTATTTATTTATCAGATTTATACCCCACCCTTCCAGCCAAAGCAGGCTCAGGACGGCTTGCATAAAAGAGTAAAAACACATAAACAACAGTTATAAATAATTGTAAAACCTTCTAAAACAATCTGATATTATAAAGTACTAGTAAACATATTTGGTTTCCGCGTAGCTGGCTTTATTAGGATCATGTGTTCACCTTACACAGAGGGTTAGAATTCTGCACATGGGCAATCCAAATTCCTGCAGAATCTTTATTTTTGTGTATTTCCTAAATACAGGGAACTTCATTTGCTCCCTAATAAGATTCTCCCTTCCCACACACAGTCTCTTTAACCTGAACAACCTTTAATCTGTAGATAATTTTGACCTCATTTTCCTTTTATTATACTGCATATCAAAAACTTAACAGGAAGCTTGAATGCCTGTTTTGACAACTGGGAAACTTGCAGAGAATCATCACGTTCGTGTCCTTGTTGCCTAATCGGCTTCATGACCGAATAGGAATTTGAACCCAGGTCTCTCTGGTCTGTGTCTGAGACTATCTCTCATAGCGTGTGTGGCTGTGGGGTGTCTGCCTTGTGGGATTTGAAGAGCTCTTTAATGCAAACCCTAATCTGTATATCTAATAGTAAAGTCTGGCCCCCATCTACAGATATCTAAATCTGTGAGTTGGAGCCACACTGACACTAAACAGGTTATTCTGCAAACTTGGGGGACCTCCCAGGTTTGCAGAAAAATCCGAAAACCTTTAAAAAATTAAATTTGGGGCATGTAAATCCCCCCTCCAAACAATAGCACATTGTCTGTGCATGTGCAGACAATATAAAAAGTCACCTCTTCAACAGTACAGCTGTAAGCCTTGATGGGCCTGGGAGCAGCATTGGCGGTGCTGGCCCAGCCACAAAGACTGGGACCGACAGTGGACAGGGGAACAGCAGCAATGGAAGGGAATGGTAAGAGGAGGAAGGGATCCCCTGCGAGTACCTCGTGGGTCCCCACTTGTTTTCTCTACTGCCCTTAGAATTCTGCGGCCCTATCATGTCGTGTTCCTTGTATCTAGTAGTAAAATTCCTGTCACTAGGTGGGTAGAAGGACCTGGATATGGCAGGCACCCTTGAGGGGGATAACCCAATTCACATGGGGCCTGTTGAGCTCCATGTGGTTTTGATAGCGTTCCCTCTGGGGCGGTGTGTGAAAACTGAGCAAAGTCGGACATAACTCACTCTCCCTTAACAACAACTAGTAAATCGAGGAACCGTTCCCTGAAACCCGATTTGAAAACGACTTTGATATCAACTGGGTGAGGCCTCTTCTTTGATCTCCAGAAGCTCTGTTTGTGTTACAGTGAATGTACACATCTTTGTAAGAAAGATCCAACATGCATTCACAAATGATAGTATTGGAATCAGGGCTTTTTTGGTATAAAAAGCCCAGCAGGAACTTATTAGCATAATAGACCATACCCAACAGCAGAAATGTATTAGCATATAAGGCCACACCCTTGACAACACAGCTCATTAGCATACTAGGCCGCACCCCGTGTTACCAGAAGTGTGGTCATCCAGCCACACCCACCTTTTGCTTCTTATTCTGTTTACCTTGTTTGTTGTCAAAACCCAGGGCTTTTTTGTAGCAGGAACTCCTTTGCATGTTAGGCCACACACACCCAAAGTAGCCAATTCTAATGAATTTCTGCTGTTGGGCGTAGCCTATTTGTTCTAATGAGTTCCTGCTGGGCGTGGCCAACTCGGGAGCCAGCCGGAACTCCGTTCCTGGGCGTTCCTGCCCCAAAATAGCCCTGATTGGAATAGAAGTGTGGTTTCGGTCTCACGTTCAGTTGTACATGACGGTGAATGTAACGTGAGAATTACTCAACACACATATAAAGAAAAATCAAATGTAGCCTCGTAACTTACGGACGGGGCCTCCTGCTTCCTGCCACACCTTGGCCACTGTGATGTCCGAACCTTGTTGGGGGGAGAGAAGTCTCCTTTAAAATGGTTTGTGATGCAGGGGTCAAAATGGATCAGAGGAGAGCCAGCTAACTGATGCAGGGTCATGTTACCAGATTAAAAAATTCCTTCAGGTCTTCATGTAGAATTCTGATTTCCCCGGAGCAGAAAATTTCTACCCCCGCATTTCAGTGGCCGTTTCGTTTGCCTGATGCCTTCCCTTTCTGTTTTGAAAGTGAGGCCTTTCCATCTATCGTTTTTTTCTCGTCTGGATTTCAAGGCAGTGAGCTGGCTGACCAGATTGGTAATCAAATTGCTACTAGACATGCAAGAATCGCATTTAGTGATTTCCCCCTAGCCTTTCACATTCAAAGACTAATGAATGGCAGGACAGCAGAAGATATAAGAAAGCATGAGCAACGGTAAACCCTTTGAGCTCGAACTCACACTCAGATTCCGGCCAAACACTTCCCTGAAGAGCTACAGTTGGGAAAATTTAACGCTGGTTGGGCTGAGTATTGGACATGTGTCAGTACACGGCCACACCTAGTGTGGAGGTTAGAGCAGGGGTGTCATGCATGCGGCCCAGGGGCCAGATCAGGCCCCCGGAGGGCTTCTATCAGACCCGCAGTGGAAGCCTTCTGCTTCTTCCAGTTCTGCTGCTGCTGCTGCATCATCGTAGGTTTGCAGCTTACAAATACACATCTGAACAGCATACTCAAGACTGCAACAGCACAGACATTTTGATGCAATAATTCAGTCAGTTATCAGACACTGTTAAATAAAAAAGATATTGCAAGAGTGCTAATGTTTTAAGCATGCTTTGTATTTGTGTCCTTTATAAAGTTTATCTCTCCGCTACCTGGCATTGCATTACATTTTATGTCACATATGGTCCAGCCCAACAAGGTCTCATTTATGTCAGATCTGGCCCTCATAACAAATGAGTTCGACACCCCTGGGTTAGAGTGTTTGCTGAAGAACGGTGAGACGGGGGTCCAAAAAGTGAAATTTACAGAACAAATTATGCAATGTAAGCAAATCTGCATAATATACTGGTTGCAGAAATGGGATTGTTCAGCTGTGCAGTATTTAATTTTTAAAAATTTTTTAGGGCAGAATATACTTGCCCTCGCTGCACCTGCTTGTACCAGCCTGTGAC